CACCCTAGCCGCATCACGCAGGGCGCTCATACACAACCATCAATCCATACACGTTACAGAAGAGTATCAGAGACGGATGGATAATAGACTAGCCCTTTTTAAAGATACAAACGGCATATGGCGTTCAAAAGGTCGAATTAGTAATTCCATCCTAGACGATGACGCAAAAAACCCCGTTTTCATATATCCAAAAACACCGCTAGCAAATCTCATCATACAAGAAGCGCATGGGGTGTATCATCAAGGCATTGAACATACGATTGCAACGGTACGTTCACAGTATTGGATCCCTAAGTTACGCAGCAAGTTCGTCACCTAGTAAAGAAGTGCGTAAACTGCCGTAGGTTCAATGGTCTACCCTACGCCTACCCTGCAACGGAAGACTTACCCAGTCGTAGAGTACTTCGTAGCCACACATTCCAACATGTAGGCCTAGACTTTTTCGATCTTCCAACAGTAAAAGAAAAAGACGAAGAACTCTCAGGCTACGGGTGCATATTTACATGCGCTGTTACGCGACTAATTCATTTGGAACTAGTGCGAAGTATGTCAACGGAAGATTTTCCTGAACGCTCTCCGAAGGTTCATAGCTCGCAGGAGGGTACCCTCGACAATAACGAGCGATAATGCTCCCACATTCCTTCTTAGCGCAGAAATTCTATCGTCGGCTTCAAGTTCGCTGCAGAATTCGACCATCAGGAATGTTACCGCTCAAAAGGAAATTGAATGGAAAAATATTACACCGTACGCACCCTGGCAAGGTGGCTTCTATGAACGCTTGATCAAGTCCATCAAACATGCCCTCTACAAGTCGCTCAAGGGGAAAACCGCTACGCTCAGTAGACAACCTCGCTACAATTCTAACCGAAATCGAGGCATGCCTGAACTCTAGGCCCTTGACCTCCCAAGGATCCGAATTGGATAGTTTAGATTCCATTCGCCCCATTGACTTCCTCCAGAAAGACATTATTTTGACGTTTCCTTATGATACTGCGAATCGCACAAAAGACCCAGGTTACCTACCACCAAGGGAAACTCGTTTATTAACCACGAAAGCCGAGGTAGAAGACGCACTTCGCACGTCATGTCGATTTACGGACCGCTTTTGGAACATCTGGCAGAAGAATTATTTGACCAGTTTACGCGAGACGCATATGAAATACCCCTTCTCCTCGCGCCATCATAACCAAAACCCCAAACTAGGAGATGTGGTTCTTGTGAGCGACCCTGTACTGCCACGAAACGACTGGCGACTGGCAAGAATCACAAAGACACCTGCAGGGTCGGACGGTCAAATTAGAGAAGTAGAGCTGATTACGGGTACTAGACGGAAAATCAAACGACCCGTTAATCTACTCGTACCTCTAGAAATTCACGACGACGCAAACACCCATGAACAAGAAAACAGTGATTCTAGGGAACCCACGATTGAAGACCATTCTACCTCAGTAAGAGACCATCCGTACAACTTGCGCTCACGCACTCAATTACGGCAGCATGACCATGGGATACGTGTCAATTTGGTTAGAAATAAATTCCCTTTATCGAGAAAATGGTTCCTCTTCTACATTATGATCCTCTCGCTTTTTCGTGGATCATGTAGTACTCCCTCTGCAAATATCGCCATGACCTGTACGGAAAAAGGAGTACAAATTCTTACGCTAGCTAACACCACGTTCGAAGTTTGCGCAGAAACTCACTGCGAAGTGCATACGCCTACTTCGAATGTGTATACGATAAAATTCCCTCCAGACGTAACCCTACATGATCATACCGTTTCTTTGAAGAGACAGATTGACGATCGCATATCCATAGTGGAAACAGTATGCCCTGGAATTAATTTTTGCGACAACATTGATTGCAACTTTTGCACCGCGATTCTTTTCAATCCGGAGTGCTGGCCAGTTAGCGCCATTTTCCTTTTGGTGATTCTCTTGTATAGCCTGACAGCCATCATATACCTCTTACTTTACGTCCCCATGACAATTGGGAAACCAATTCGCATCATTCTGCAAGGAATTTTCGTAATCGTACGCGTAGCATTTTATTTACTGAAGAGATGCCTTAGACGCCTTTTACGCCTCCCCCTACGGAACGTACGATCAAAAAGCGAACGTATTACGCAGGCGCTGGCAATAACAACTATCGCAATATGTCTAGTGCAAAAAAATGCCTTCGCTTGTCAGCAAGTTGATATCCTTGAATATCATTCCACAATCTGCACACAGACGGAAGGCAAGGAAAATTGCAGCGTTGCCATCAAAGAGCTTCTAAAAATCAATACATTCCATCAAGAAGCCTGCTTACGTCTCACGAGAAATTCCTCACTAATTGCGAATATTAAAATACGCTGGAAAGGGCTCTACCTCAATTGCGAAAAGGAAACGCTATTCTTTACGCGTCCTACTAAGCTCAGGGTGATAGACAGCAAACGCTGCGCGGACGAAGGTTCATGTGTGGGCAATAAATGCGCAGATGTGAATGCATCCAGCCTTTTGAAAGAATTAGAGCCGGGGAACAAGTACACTGGCCGCACGGGCTGCATTGAGTCTTGCGGTGGGCCATGGTGTGGCTGTTTTTGGCCGTGTCCGGGTTGCTTATTCTATCGCATCTACGCGGAGCCGACTAGTGACAAAATATACGAGTTCTTCCGTTGTTCGCGCTTGGATAGAAAAAGTGAAACTTGAGCTTGTAATAGAAGAGCTTCAATCAGGTCGTAGTCGGTTCGTTTCCACTATTTTCCCAAATGTACCGGTGCAGTTCCCATCTGTCCAGGTAACCATGACTTCCATAACCTTACCACCTACGCCCTCCCTCAATATGCACTTCATTAGCTCGAATACGGAAACTGCTATATGGGGGGACGAATTTAATCCCGATTTAAAGTGCGATTCGTGGATGCAAGCTAACACTAATAACTGTACACTCCACGACACTTGCATTTGCTCCCCAGCGGAATTCAAAGTCTCTTGTCAATGCCCGACCAACGACGTAGATAAGGAGGTTAACAGGATAGAGCTGAAACTTCCAGTTAAAACGCCTGCAGCTGAATATCGCAGGCAAAGAGATGCTACGATAATAGCCAAAATACTTCACATGGTGACGGCGGAATTCATCGTGGAAACTAAACAGACTTTAAACAGTGGTAGTACCACAACTCTGGTCACCAATGAATCCTGCACAGTGGGAAATAATATCCTAAAAGGGTGCTACAACTGCGCGAAAGGAGCAGAAGCAAAAGTCCGCTGTTACTCTCGCACAGAAACACTAGGAGAGATTGTATGTGAAAGCAAGAGTTTCGTAGTTCCGTGTTCGCCACACTCTCCTGAAACGCCTTTGCGATTCCATCTCGAAAACGCAAGACAACTGCTAAATTGCTCCATACAATGCGGTGAAACGCAAAAATACTTCTCGCTTGCAGGTATTCTCCAATACGTGGGTAACTTTCACGCCAACGTTAGAGGCACCCTACAGGGAAAAAGTGTAACTTATAGTGACTTCAAATGGCCAGATATATTCCACATAGCCGATGTGATCTTGAGTTGGTATAAGACGCTTATTCTCATGCTAATAGTAGGCGGGCTAATCCTATTCCTCCTCTATATCTGCTTACAAATGGCAGGAATACACATAGCACGCCTACTCTTACGCGTTATCCTTGCCCTAATATTTCTACCACCACGAGTCCTGTTTTTTCTTTGTAAGAGGCTGTTTAAGGGTAGACGACAAGTACAACTGCTTCCGACGAGAATCCACGAAAAACGATTCTGAAGCTATCACAGGAAATGAGAAAAATTTTATAGGGGATTCGCATTCTTCTAGAGTAGATTGTCCTCACAATAGGTTTACTACTAGTGCAAAAACTATTTTTTCAGATATGAACACGCTTGACGAACTACAACGTCTACGCCGAATTTTCGAAGCCATCCCACCCCTTCCTGATGCCACGACGCTTTACAACAAGATTCTACACGGAAGTATTCAACTCCGCATCACAACGCGTTCAATGAGTGACCTGTTTGAGCGCATTAGAACCTTGCAAAATAGTCAAGAAAGTCTTAGAGATAGATCGCTCCAACTGCAGATCATCGAAGCCTTATGTGAAAAAATGCATATGGCATTTATGGCCATTTTCATTGCCAAGATCGGAACTCCGTACGCTTTCAACCCGTAGCTGCTCTTCTCTTGCCTCTGAAATGAATTTTCTGAGGAAGAATGGAATTCCATGATCCGAAAACCTCAATGGGACGATAGAGGGAAAGCGCTGCTTCTTGATCACGACCAAATAGAAAAGTTTATAACGGACCAGTTCGATATTCTTGAAGAATACCACTCCATGCCCGTGAGCATGCGGCAAAAAACAATTAATTACCCTGAGAAACCTCGAAGTCCAAGTTCCAGGAATCGCTTCATTCCTCACTCAGAGAAATTCACAAACTTATGGAGGCCAACAATGCCACGCTTGCCTCCCATACGCACCAAATCGCAGAATTGGGGCTTACCATACGCAACAAATCGAAGAATTGATATCACTGATTCAGTCGGAAGTTATCAAGCTGGAGACAACCATGACAGGGTACTCGATGTTGTTCGAGACGCTGTTACAGACGCAGTCTTGAAAACTACGCAATCACTCGCGGTGGAACGCGCTAGGGATGACTCAGCACCTCACACGAGCGGCGGGGGCGAGGGCATCGAGAATGCTCGAAATTCTAATGCTGAATTCCGCCGACGTCGATGACGAACGGCGCAAGGCCGGGGAAGAGGAAGCGATCATAAAACGCAACGCTGAGTTCATGGAGAATGTAGAGATAGTCGATGACGAAAGTGTGAGAAGAGAGCAGT